CGTCTGCACCGAGCCCGACCACGTGTTCTGCATGACCGAGATGCGCTGCAAGCGGTCCGGCAGCTGCGGCAGCGGAGAGCTGCTGCCGCCCGCGGGCAGCTGGTGAGTGAGGTCATCGTCTGAGGGGACTGGTCAGAACGGTCATCGCCTTAGGGGCTGGTCAGTCCGGCCATCGCCTGAAATCGGCTGCTCACCACGGTCATCGCCTGAGGGGGCTGGTCATGACGGTCATCACCCGAGCTTGGCTGGTCAGCACGGTCGTCGCCCGAGCTGGGCTGGTCAGCACGGTCACCGCCCGGGCTCGGCTGGCCATCGCCCGAGCTCGGCTGATCACCACGGTCATCGCCTGAGGGGGCTGGTCATCACGGTCATCACCCGAGCTCGGCTGGTCACCACGGTCATCACCTGAGGGGGCTGGTCAGCACGGTCACCGCCTGAAGGGGCTAGTCAGCACGGTCGTCGCCCGAGCTCGGCTGGTCACCACGGTCATCACCTGAGGGGGCTGGTCAGCACGGTCACCGCCTGAGGGGGCTGGTCACCACGGTCGTCGCCCGAGGCTGGTCACCACGGTCATCACCTGAAGGGGCTGGTCAGCACGGTCACCGCCCGAGCTCGGCTGGTCACCACGGTCATCACCTGAGGGGGCTGGTCGGCACGGTCACCGCCTGAAGGGGCTGGTCACCACGGTCATCGCCTGAGGGGGCTGGTCACCACGGTCACCGCCTGAAGGGGCTAGTCACCACGGTCATGCCTGGGGGCTGGTCAGCACGGTCACCACCCGAGCTCGGCTGGTCACCACGGTCATCCACCTGAGGGGGCTTGGTCAGCACGGTCACCGCCCGAGCTCGGGCTGGTCACCACGTCATTCACCTGAGGGGGTTTGGTCACCACGGTCACCGCCTGAAGGTAGTCACCACGGTCATCGCCTGAGGGGCTAGTCAGCACGGTCACCGCCTGAGGGGGCTGGTCACCACGGTCGCCGCCCGAGCTCGGCTAGTCAGCACGGTCATCGCCCGAGCTCGGCCGGTCACCACGGTCATCGCCTGAGGGGGCTGGTCAGCACGGTCGCCGCCTGAGGGGGCTGGTCAGCACGGTCAACGCCTGAGGAGGCTGGTCAGCATCGCCGCCTGAGGGAGCTGGTCAGCACGGTCACCGCCTGAGGAGGCTGGTCAGCACGGTCACCGCCTGAGGGGGCTGGTCAGCACGGTCACCGCCTGAGGAGGCTGGTCAGCACGGTCGCCGCCTGAGGAGGCTGGTCAGCACGGTCACCGCCTGAGGGGGCTGGTCAGCACGGTCACCGCCTGAGGAGGCTGGTCAGCACGGTCGCCGCCTGAGGAGGCTGGTCACCACGGTCGCCGCCTGAGGGGGCTGGTCAGCACGGTCATCACCTGAGGAGGCTGGTCACCACGGTCACCGCCCGAGCTCGGCTGGTCACCACGGTCATCACCTGAGGGGGCTGGTCAGCACGGTCACCGCCTGAGGAGGCTGGTCACCACGGTCACCGCCTGAGGGGGCTGGTCAGCACGGTCGCCGCCTGAGGAGGCTGGTCACCACGGTCACCGCCTGAAGGGGCTGGTCACCACGGTCATCGCCTGAGGGGCTAGTCAGCACGGTCACCGCCTGAGGCCCGCGCCGCGCCGCTCAGCCCGGCCATGATCACATTCTCACTGTGCGAGTGCTTTGCGAGTCGCCACTTTTCTGTTGATAATTGCCGATGTAAAGTTGAACTACAATTCAAAACATCAAGCCGCCTAGGAAGCCAAAAATGCCATCCGCTGGGAAAATTGAGTTTTGGTATCCAAAATGCACATTCAATAATGATGTCAATAATTAAGTTTGTCTGTATATTGCCAATTAGGGAAATCTATCGCATACATAATAACGTTTTCTGATAGCAAATGTCTTTGGTTGCGAAGCCATCATCGTATTATTCAGCAACTTTAGTTAATGCCTTGTTTTCTGAAATCACCAACGAAAAAAGCCTATGCGCAGAGGTCTAAATATTTGAATCGCGATCAGAGTACAACATAACCCCACAAACTCGGCCCGGTCAAGACCTGAGATGGTGGTCGGTAAAATTGCGCTTTAAGTGGTTGGCTGACGTGGAATGTCCAAACTACCACTTCCCGCAGCTAGTGTTCAAGGGCTGTCAGGTTCCTTGCCATTATTTCACAACTCACAGTCTTTTCTGAACTCAACGTGACCAACGCAAGGGTTGGTATTTCGCTCAGCGATGCCCTGCCATCAGCTGGCATGTCCTCCGACTCTGGACAGTGGGTAATCCACGAGCTGCCGCGCGCTGGGCGGGTCCTCTTGGCGGCTGCGGACGTGTTCTGTCAGGCACGCGCTGGTCGAGTCGCAAACCCCATGCACCCGAACGTCGCTGGCTTGAAACAGCGCTAAACCACTGCCGGCTCCACAGCCCCAACGCGACGCTGGGGCGGGGACATGTGACGTTCATGTCGACCGGGTCATCCCGGTCCTGGCGTGATGCGCCCGCGGCACGGTCAAGGCGCAGTTGCTCTGACGGCTGACCGGGCGGCAGGGTCCGGGACCGGACCGTGTCCTGCTGTTGAGCCGGGACAGGCATGTGCCGGCTATTGACCCGGGGACTGGCCGGTGTTTCCGTGCCGTGCCTGGGAACCGGTCTGGTGTCCGCTGGCCGTGCCGGGGACAGGCCGGTGGTCCGCTGTCGAGCCCGGGACCGGCCGGTTGTCCGCCTGCCAGTGCCGAAGCAGGCGTTCCAGTGCTCGGTGCTTGTGTCTGGGGGCCACGAGCTCATGACGTCATTGCCCGAGTATCGACGTGGTTCGTATCCGTTGTAATTGTTGCTCGGCGTTGCTACGGAGACCGGGGCTGTCGGTCTGCTTTGCCACCACTCAAACGCGTCAGGTGGTTCTGTTGCGACTGTGTCCGCTTCCGACCACCGGTGCAAACGCCGCGAGTCCGTACGCATCGATCCTATTGTGCGAGCACACCTGCACACGTCTTGTCAGGAATGAGTCCCACAGCAGGTCATTGAAGGGAGGCAAATACGCAACGCCGTGGCATAAAGGTCGTGGGCAGCCTGTAAGGAGAAGCAGCGACAGCAGTTCGTCCATCATTTTCATAATGGACTTGTACCACGCGTATGCATGCAATGTAAGACACCTTGTTGAACAGTTTGTCCCTCTTTTGAGAGCCATGTAGATCGGAACAATGTTCGTCACGCGTAGTCCTTATTGGAAGGCAGCCGACAACCACTTTAGTTAAATCCTTCGCTCCCGTTGTTGTGTGTGCGTCTGTGTGTCAGCCCACGACATCTTAGCTTAGGACATCGACATCTGTGTTCCATCGTCACGCATCCCATGCGGCGAGCTCGGCGCGGCGAGTCACTGCCGTGCTCGCGGCACGGGCGCCTCTCCTGCCGCGCTGGCCGTGACACACCGTCTCCCCGCCTGCCCGTTGCAGGACCCCGGTGCCCGGCCGGCACCGTCTTCTGCCTGGGGTCGGAGCGCTGCGAGCCGGCGGCGCGCGGCTGCCCGCGGCCCGGCCGCGCCGCCTGCCCGCTCGGCTCCGTCTACTGCGTGGCCGAGGGAGGCTGCGTGCCGGGTGCCTGCCGGCCCGAGGTGGGTGGCCCGGCCGTGGCCGCCAGCTCCGGCCCCGCGTGCCGTGCGTGCTGCACATCGGGCCTGTTAGCCCTCCGAGTGCCTTTTTCTCCGCAGGAAGGCGTGCTCCTTGCAGTCAGTGTGTGGCCTGCTGGAACGGAGATGATCATAAGTGGTTTTGACACCCATCATACATTGGTTCCTACGTATTTTGTCTCCCTTGTATTCGGCTTGTTGGACGTAGAGAGCGTTTGGATTTGTCTTCATTTAGCTGAATATGCTGCCCATGTCATGGATCCCTTTTACTGATTGCAACATTACTCGTATTGATGAGCGTTTAGCCACGAAGTACTGCGCAATATGCAATAGAACTGCTTATTACCTCTTACATTAGCATGAGCCGGCCATAATCATGCAGTCTTGCGTCAAATGCACTTGCAATTAATAATTATACTTGCATCGCTCCATTTGCATAATTCGTGTCTTTACAAGTTCATGGTAGTTTCGAGCAAACGAAGTACGCTACTCGTATCAAAGATAGTTTGATGGGGCTTGAAGGGAATGTTCCGCATTTGAAGATATCGAAGCAAACATGAGATGTAATGAACTCAATTTGGAATACTTTTTAGTACGAAACGCTGCTCTAGACAATGCCATTTCTCTACTTAGTAACCATGCTTCTTAATACGTCATTGTTTGGTTGCGTCATGCAACATTTGTATGACGTTCAGGTGCTGCCGAACCAGCCGGGTTAAATTACCACCCTAGCGCACACTTGTAGTACTTTAATCTCCCGAAAGGTGGCCGTGGCGGTGCTATGGGCGTTTGCTATACGAAATATCATTGTTTGCTCGCGTTTTCGCTTTTTCTCGTACTACTCTTGCATGTTTATCGTGAGTTCAAGGTTTTTACTTGTATTCATACACTCGGGGTTATGACGCCCTTCTTATATTATTCGATTTTATGTCTTATTTCATCAATAACTATCAACCATGTCCAACTTCATATATCATGTAAAACAAAGCGCAATCTGTGATGTTAAGTTGAGTGGTCTGGCAAATACTAATTGGCGTCCAATCGACGTCCATTGCACTTGGCAACCGTGATCTTTGACGCTAGATAGAAAAAGATCGACGGCTATCTCCTTTTCGGGCTTAAATGCCGATGGCCAATGGGATGGTAGGGTTTAAATCACGTTTCTGTGGTATCATGTATGCCTAGTGACCTTGAAATGGTCTGCACGAAATAATCTGCACATATCCGCAGGCATGTAGCTAAAAAACTAGAAGGCTTTAGGTCTTGAGAACATCGGGTTGTCAAGGGCTTGACCCGCACCAAGTGATCTTTAAATGGCTATTTCAGTTCAAAACCCCATGCAAATGTGGAGCACTCCCGTGCCATTAACGCCCTAAGAAAAGTTTATATGTTTATTTTCTCGCTGCTTAGGACTGTAAGTCAAAGTCACATGAACAACTGCCTTATGCACTTAGTTACCTACTACCAGCGACGCAGTCGGGATTTCATCTCGACAGGTGTCAAATTGGGTCAACAGGGGCCCTTCCAGCCAAGGGTAATCGCCGCTCGAAGGCCTTTTTGCGGGAGGGAAGGGATTCGGGGCACCTTTTAAGGTTCCAGACCCCATTGAGATGCATGATGCATCGGAGCCCGTTTTTTTTTTGATGTTTTATAAACCTTACAGGCCTCTTACACCGTCAGAAAAAACTCATACCCTCACCCCACGGTGACCCTTGCCACCAGAGGGCGGGGAGTGGGCATGGCTCCAAAGAATATCTTGGCTTCTCCACTACGTGCTACTTTGTACATACCGTGTGTATTTCACAACTAGTTTTAGCCACGCCGCATCCATGCTTGCCGAGTCGTGTTCTGCGCATCCCGCCTGCGTTGCAGACAGTCGGCCTGCTGCAGGCGTCACGGGCGGGCCCACCCCCCGTCCTGCTGAGCCGGTCCGTGCGCTGCCGTCCCCCGGCGCGCCGCGCGCTCACGCCGGCTCCTGTGTGTCCTCTAGGAGCAGCTGGAGGGCGGCCGCCGCTGCCCGGCCCCGCTGACCTATTGCCTGGCCGCCGACCGGTGCCAGCTCCCGTCGCTGACCTGTCCCGCCGCTGCCTGTGCCGTCCCCCCTCTCCCTCTGCCCGCACACCGGCACCTGTCTGTCGGCGCCGCTCTGCGCCGCCGCCGGCGACGGTCCCTGTCGCCGCGGCGAGATCTACTGCATGCAGACCGGCGGCTGCACGGCGCCCGGACGCTGCGCCGACACGGCCGCGTGCCCCCCTGGCCAGATGTTCTGCGTCTCCACCGGCCGCTGCACGCCACGCGCCGCGTGTGCTGAGCCCGGCGGCGGCGAGGGGCCCTGCCCGCCGGGGGAGATGTTCTGCGCCTCCACCGGCCGCTGCACGCCACGCGCCGCGTGTGCTGAGCCCGGCAGCGGCGAGGGGCCCTGCCCTCCGGGGGAGATGTTCTGCGCCTCCACCGGCCGCTGCACGCCACGCGCCGCGTGTGCTGAGCCCGGCAGCGGCGAGGGGCCCTGCCCGCCGGGGGAGATGTTCTGCGCCTCCACCGGCCGCTGCACGTCACACGCCGCTTGCGCCGGCCCCAGCGGCAGCGGGAGGGTCTGCCCACTGGGGGAGACATACTGCATCTCCGCCGGCCACTGCACGCCGCACGCCGAGTGTGCCGAGCCCGGCGGAGGCGAACGGCCCTGCCCGCCGAGGGAGGTGTACTGCCCGCGGCTGCGGCGCTGCCAGCCGGCCGGGCAGTGCCGGCGGCCGGGGCGCGGTCCGGCCTGCCCGGCCGGTCTGCGGGCTTGCGGACCGGCCGGCGCCTGCCTGCCCGAGGACCGCTGTCGCCTGCCGCTCGTCTGCGCTCCGGGCGAGGTGTACTGCGCGGCGGCGGGAGAGTGCCGGCGCCACGACCAGTGCGGCTCGCCGGCGCCACCCACCGGCTCGCCAGCGCCATCCGCCTGCCCGCCCGGCCTCGTCTACTGCATGAGCACGGGCGAGTGCCAGCCACACGCCGCCTGCCGAGCCAAGCGCGAGATCGTCTGCGGTCTCGGGCTCGTGTTCTGTCTGGCCAACGACAGCTGCGTTCTCGAGGGTACTTGCCTGATCGCTGGAAGTGGGAACGCCGCGGGGAGCGGCGTCACAACAGAGGACGTTACGCACACGACGGTGGAAGGATCAGCTGCGTCCACTGACGGCGCGACGGAAATGCCCAGCACGACGCTGGAAACGACAGGATCGGCGTCAAATTTATCACAGGGAACGACGGATCCGTCCAGCGCGGCCACTGAAGAGGTAACGGGACTGACGGCGATCTTACCACAAATGACAACCGATGGATCACCAACCTCAAAACAAAGTACATCCGATGGATTATCAACATCACCACAGACCACAACTGATGGATTGCCGCTCTCACCACAAACCACAATCGGTGGATCGCAAACCTTGCCTTGAAAACACGACAGATGGATCACCGACATCGCCTCAAACCACGACCGATGGGTCACTGACCTCACAGCAAAACACAACCGATGGATCACTGACTTCGCCTCAAACCACGACCGATGAATCACCGACCTCACCACAAATGACAACAGATGGATCACTGACCTCACCTCAAAACACAACCGATGAACAACCGACCTCGCTTCAAAACACAACCGATGGTTCACCGACATTGCCACAGACCACAACCGATGCGTCAATGACCCCACAACAAAACACAACCGATGAATCACCGACCTCGCAACAAAACGTTACCGATGAATCACCGACCTCACCACAGATGACAGCTGAAGAATCACTGAGCTCCCAGCAGACCACAACAGATGGATTACCGATGTTATCACAGATGACAACTGAAGAATCGCTGCCCTCCCAGCAGACCACAACCGATGGATCACCGACCTTACCACAGATGACAACTGAAGAATATATGACCTCCCAGCAGACCACAACCGATGGGTCATCGACCTTACCTCAGATGACAACTGAAGAATCTATGACCTCCCAGCAGACCACAACCGATGGGTCACCAGCCTTGTCATCACAGACCACAACCGATGGATTACCGACTTCAAGTTCCACCGACAGCTTTTCGAGCTCAGTTGGAGCCAATAGTCTGGTTCCGGGCGATGAAGAAACAACGACCCACCGATCTGACCTCAGCTGCTGTGACTGCCACCACTGACCGAGACGCCGCAACAGCAACATCCGGCGCAGGGACCTCAACGTGGCACAGCCAAGTAACGACCTCGACACCCACAGCAGTAACATCTGACGTCACCCAAGTGAGCACGGACGAGACCTGGGCATCGCAGGAAACCACTTCCGGCACGGACGAGACCAGGACATCGCAGGAAACCACTTCCGGCACGGACGAGACCAGGACATCGCAGGAAACCACTGCCAGCACGGACGAGACCTGGGCATCGCAGGAAACCACTTCCGGCACGGACGAGACCTGGGCATCGCAGGAAACCACTTCCGGCACGGACGAGACCTGGACATCGCAGGAAACCACTTCCGGCACAGACGAGACCAGGACATCGCAGGAAACCACTTCCGGCACGGACGAGACCAGGACATCGCAGGAAACCACTGCCAGCACGGACGAGACCTGGACATCGCAGGAAACCACTTCCGGCACGGACGAGACCAGGACATCGCAGGAAACCACTGCCAGCACGGACGAGACCTGGACATCGCATGAAACCACTGCCAGCACGGACGAGACCTGGACATCGCAGGAAACCACTGCCAGCACAGACGAGACCTGGATATCGCAGGAAACCACTTCCGGCACGGACGAGACCTGGGCTTCGCAGGAGACCACTGCCAGCACAGACGAGACCTGGACATGGCAGGAAACCACTTTCGGCACTGACGAGACCTGGACATCGCAGGAAACCACTGCCAGCACGAACACCTCGCTTGGCACCGAAGTGAGCCCTTGGTCCTCCTCACCCGAGCTGACCTCCGCCGAGACCCCCGTAACCCTGAACGCCTCCGGCTCCGAGCCTTCCACCACGGCGCAGGTAACGTACCAGCAGGGCGCGGCCGTCGACCCGTGCGCGCCTCCTCCGCCTCCGGAGCGCCACCCGCCACCAGACCTGCCGACACCGTCTGAATTTTTGCGCGCGCGCGCTTGCGGGGCCCGTTTTGGGACGGCGATCGCTGAGGCACACCGTGCACAGCCGGTCCTGGTGCGACCGCCGGCCACGCTGCCGGCGGTGGCGGCGCCGCGCGACGCAGCCGCCGCGCGCCGCCGACGCTGACGCCCGCTGCATGCGGCCCGGCGCGCGGCCACGACAGCCGGCGACGTTTTGGCCGGACAATTTTTACTCGTTGCAATTTTTCAGAAGGTGTGTGCTTGTTTTTCTGTCTCGGAGCGATGATGACAAAGCACAGCGGAGTTTGCCTGCGAGCCGTGTACACAGTGGCACGATGCGAGCGCGTGGTCACTTTTTGATCGGTGTTCTTCTGTTAATGGTGGTGGTTGGGGCACTCGGGTGATAACACCCGAGAGCATGTCACGTGCGAGGGCACTGGCACGAGGTGGTTGTCGAGCACTGTATGCCGGCTAGTGTGCGACTGTTGCGGTGCCCACTCTCGGCCGGTCCGGTTCGTGGGCGGTCCATGTTGAGGTGCTATGCAACCGGCCGCACGGTAACAAAATACGCTTGCTAGCTAGGTGTTGGCTTGCATACGAGGACCACACTCACCTCATCACGGCAGACTATGATCCTGTGTCTATAAGGAAATGATTTAGTATGTTATGCGTCCATGGTCAGGTTCGGCGTTTGTGACTCATGACTCATAGCGCATAGAGTCGCGATTACACGGTTTCAGGTCGGCGAAAATTTACCACATGACTTGTTTTCCAGACCTCAACGGTACCAGGGCCTCTAGATAGCTGTGAAATCGACCAAGTGTAAGTGCTTTATTTGAAATACCGCAACCACCTTGCGCCAAAATGTTTTAAAGCATTCAACGTGATCTGACGCCCAACGTTGACAGTTCTGCAGTTGCCACTCACAAGTCGTCCTAAATTTTTGGTCTTACTATCGTCAGGCGGCCATTGTCCTTTCACTTCAATTAATTTAATTTTGAAATCATGACGGCAGGCGTGTGGGCGGCAACGTAGTAAAGCTTATTTACAGTCCACGGCCTTAAACAGCCTGCTTTTGTCGCGCTGGCGGGAGCGTCCGTTGGTCCAATTCTTCCCCGCTGACGAAAACCAATAGCACGAGCCTCATAATCCCCTTCCCCCCCCCCCCCCCCGACCGATCCACTTCTTCCACGTCCCGGACCAAAACCACTAGCACGAGCCTCAAAGTCCCCCCTACCAATCCACTTCTTTCTGACCCCCGGACCAATACTCCTAGCACGCCCCCCCCCCCCCCCCCCCCCCTGCACCGATTGTCGCTGCCGACTGACGGTCCGCGGTGGCTGTGCTTCAGCTTCTGCGTCATCACCGACCGCTGCCAGTCGCCCGCCGACGCCTGCGGCGTCGTCTGCCCGCCCAGTCACGTGGTCTGCTCCGGCCAGGAGACGTGCGTGACCTACCGTGCCTGTCAGGGTGAGCATCACACGGCCCCGTGGTCACGTGGGTCAGCCGTCTCGTGCCGGGGCTGTTCGAAGGAATGCCGCCCAGTCACGTGCTATATTGCTGTTTGAGGACGTGTCGTTTCGGGGGCACTATACGAGCACAAAGCTGTCGGTGATTGCTTCCACGTTAGATCTTGGTACAACACCAACGTCGAAAGAACACCCGAAGCGCAGGTAGTTTTCGAAAATTCATGCCGTTCAGCATGAGATGATTGCGTGCAAAGGAAAATGTTTTTATCCGCGACATCGAATCCATACTGCCATCGGGCCTATCGGCCTCTTCGCCCAGTTGTATGAACGGTTGTCGATTTCTCACAATGGGCAGAGTTGTGAGTCGCCATAAGGAAACGGGTCCAAAAAATTATCGGATTTCGTCCGTTGATGTTCTGGTTATCTATCTATATATATATTATGTATATGCATATATGGGTCATATACATATATTTATGAATACATGCATATATACTCACACACACACACACACACACACACACACACACACACACACCACACACACACACCCCACACACACACACACACACACACACACACACCACACCACACACACACACAACACACACACCACACACACACACACACACACACCACACACACACACACACACACACACACACACACCACACACACCACACACACACCACACACACACACCAACACCCACACACACACACACACACCACACACACACACACACACACACACACACACACACACACACACACACACACACACACACACACACACACACACACACACACACACCACACACACACACACACACACACACACACACACACACACACACACACACACACACACACACACACACACCACACACACACACACCCACCACCACACACACACCCACACACACACACACACACACACACACACACACACACACACACACACACACACACACATATATATATATATATATATATATATATATATAATTCTGGAAAGCAAAATGTGGACATCGTTCACTGTAATATGTTCAAAAAATTTGTGTGGTCCGTTTGCAAACGTATTCACAAGAATAGAATGTCCACAGTATGTGTAGCTAACACAACCCGTTCAGACGCGGGTTCTAGGCGCACCGAAGTTTAATCGACAATGCATATGCATTTCAGTTAATGTAAAACAAAACATCAACACTACCTTGCCGATCGTTTCAGAAAATCGTCCCCAACCTTTTCCCCAAATCCACATAAGGTTATGTTTTCCTGTTGAAAATGCATTTTCCCAGCTCACAATACGAGCCTGCCGCACTTCTGGCGGCCCCCGTTCCAAGCTGCTGCACCTCTGAACGGACAGTGACTCTCACTCGCTGTGCTTCGAACGTGCGACAAATGAGCACCTTTCGTGTGAATGTCACGCGCAAAGCAGGTCGATTGTTACGCCTTGCAACGATTGTAATGCTGAGCTCACTGTTGGCGGGGCCAAATTGCGCATTTGGGTGGAGATGACGGATGGCGGGCGGCAGGCGACGGGTGACGGAGTGGGGGGTAGTAGTCTACCCAAAATAATGTGACTGGAAACCCGTGGAGGTATGCGTGATGTCACCATGTTGTCATATTTCTTTTAACCGGCGATGTTTGCTAACTTAATGAGATCCGCGGGGAATCTATTGATTCACGACACTCGGGCATTGCAAATTTACTGGCTGCTGTTGGTTAACGTCAGGGAAGTGCAAATGTCAAGCCTGGTTGAGGCACTGCGCCGTTGGCTGACCTCGGCGAGGTCAGCAGAGGTGTGTTGGGTTGCCGTGCAACACTTTGGGCTTTATCCAGATGTGTTGGTAGAGCTTTTTGAAGCAGATTGGCCTGGTATGGCAGTGTACCGTGTGGGAGTGCCTTGCGAAAAGCCGATGATACACTGGCTAGCCGTGTGGGCTGGTGCAAGGCACACACTGGTGATCAGTATGCCACCCTGGCCTTATCTGGAATGCAGACAACTGACCGGCGTGTGGTCTGTGCAGACCCGTCGGATACGGGTGTGGTGTGAACCCTGCCAGAGCCGGTGGAGTGTGCTACTGACCGGCGTGTGGTCTGTGCAGACCCGTCGGATACGGGTCTGGTGTGGACCCCCTGCCAGAGCCGGCGGAGTGTGTTACTGACCGGCGTGTGGTCTGTGCAGACCCGTCGGACACGGGTCTGGTGTGGACCCTACCTGAGCCGGTGCGGTATGTTACTGACCGGCGTGTGGTCTGCTCAGACCCGTCGGACACAGGTCTGGTGTGGACCCTACCTGAGCCGGTGCGGTATGTTACTGACCGGCGTGTGGTCTGCGCAGACCCGTTGGACACAGGTCTGGCATGGACCCTGCCTGAGCCGGTCGTCCAGGGGTCAAGCGAACTGCCGCCGGCCGTCTCACTCAACTCCATCGTCCAGTCAGCCGCGGCGGAGGTCAGGACACCCCTGACCATCGGCGCACTCGTTCACCACGCCAGCCGACTCAGCGTCCCGTCACCGTGCTCTTCCTCATCAACACATCCCGTCCGCGTTTTGCTGGCCGGTGCTTTTGCTGCATTTCACCCACCGACCCAACCGTTCACGGCCTGTCACTCAGCAATGCACACATTTGTTATTGCACTCACCAGCAAAAGATGATAAACGCGGTGGTCTTCTGTGCGACACCCGTTTGCTGTTCGCTGTTATGCGCATTTTAACCATATTGTACCATATTGTGCTTGTACACTGAGTGTACAATCACACTCAGTGGTGTAATCGTTAACTCTAGCGCACTCACCAGTACGCTTGGCCTCCCTACTGCACCTGCCAGCGTGTCGCGCACTGGCTCACCGGCCAGGAGCGGGACTGACATTCTGAAGCCATTGAGCGCGCCTCACAGCCAGCCTCGGCTCGGCACAGAGCCCGCCGACCCGGCGCTCCTGCTCGGTGCTTAGTCCCGCCACACCTGGCACGGCGCACCCTCGCGCCGCGGCCGGGCTCACCACGCGCTGAAGGCGCGCCCCGCCCACCCGGCAGACTCTTCTACTGACCGGTAACGCGCCCAGCTTCCTGGTGGAGACGGCCGACGAGGGCTGGGAGGCAGCTGACGCGGCCGACGGCACCTTCAGCCCACTCACCGTCGGCAGCCGCTTGCGCTTCAGCCAGTTCGTGCAGTTCCAGCCGGCCGATACTGGCTTCGGCTTGCGCCAGCTGAACCTCAGCCAGGACGTCGGTGGGTGCCTGGACGACGTCGAGAGGCGTAGTTTGGGGGCTGCAGAACCACCTGCTGTCTTGGTGTGGAGAACCACTTCCTTGGAACAGGTCTCGAACTGTCCTTGCCGTTGGTGAATTCACTGAGGTGCAGGGATTTTGATCCACTGTTCCGCTTATTGGACGCAAAATGACCTTGCCAGCCAAAACGCCGTACTCCGCATGCTTAGGTCCATTACCTGGTTACTATTCCGTCTAACTTGCTTGGCCAGGAGAGACTCTTCGCACTGATCCTGCTTCAGTTAAGAGCATGCTGTTGATGATGTCCTTTTGCGTGCCTTCCGAATTTCACCAGCCATAACTGTCTGTCCCCAGACAAATTTAATGACTGTGGTGCACAGTGAGGTGGCCCCTCCCACCGCTCACCCCGCTGTGTACTGCTCCCCACAGACGAGGAGACGCGCTTGCGTGCCCATTGACATAGTCCCCCTATCGCTCACCCCCGCTGTGCACCACCGACCGCAGACAAGGAGACGAGCCTGCAGTACACGGTGCTGCAGTACGTGCTGCCCCGGGCCGGGCTGGTCAGCATCAACACCTCGGAGTTGACCCTCGCCGAGGACGAGCCGGGCACGCTGCTCATCTCAGAGCTCGTCTCCGTGGGCCGCGCCGCCTCGGCCGCCGACCTCGGTCAGTCCTGCTCGGCCGGCCGCAGACCCCGTCCCGGCACATTGATGTCTGCAGTGTTGTCTTACACAGTGTATTACGCGTCATGGCGACGCCTGTCGGAGCGCGGCGCGTGCCATGCTATCGGTGCTACCTGCATGGTGCATTATTACACGTGGTAACAGATAGCTAGTAGCATCATCATCCAACATGCATGCTTGACTTCCAGAATGTATGCACAGTACGCTTGACATCGCCCAACATGGCATGGCTGTCGCAGTATCGCCTCCGCGCTGCGAAATGTGACGCGCACCCTGGCACAGATGTTGCCACCCGACGTGTGCCGTGCCACCCAGCGCCAGGCCCGGCTGCCCCCTTGCCCTGTGCCGCCGGTGTCGTGCCGTCGTCCGGCGCCGGTCCGATGCGGCTTTGAGACGCGTGATGCGATGCTTGTCTGCGCATTATGCCACGACTCTCACTTCCTTCCTTCACGTGTGCGATCTCATTTCCCGAGTCCGCCTTTACCCATAAGGCTATGACCACAGCCCGCTCGCTACCCAGTCTTTGCCAGTTGTACCAACCCGTCTCCCGCCCGTTTAATTTTTTCTGGCGTTAGGGACGCTGCTAGAGCCTTAGCAAGGGGGGGGGGGGGCACCGGGGTGGCGCAGAGCACCTGCTGATGAAAAGAGCATGGACAGCCAAATTATCTGTAAGTTTCCCAGAATCTGTACCCAACCCGCTACCCATTTAGTACGGCCACTCACTCCACTGGTACGCCTGGAAGAGCGAAGAGTACGCCTCTCTTCTGCTGACCGGGTCAGGCGCCCAGTGACCGCTGACCCTCCCGCGCAGAGGAGCTGAGCTGGCAGCTGCAGTCGCCGGCGCTGGACCGCGCCGCGCTCGGGTACCAGCAGCTGCGCTCGCTGTACCAGCCGACGGTACCGGTACGGGTGCGGTACGCCGGAGAGATTCAGCGCCGCTCTGAGGTGCCAGGCCAGACGCTCTTCTCGTACACCGGCGACGAGGACAGGTGAGTGCGCCGCTCGGAAGCGGGAGGAGCGCACGCTGTGTTTGGTCTTCTGGGTTGGTGTCTAAGTCACTGTTGCCTCTGGCATGGCGAGGAAGTACTGTTTTCACCGCCATACAAGCTGGTTGCGTAGAGTTGTTGTTAATGTTTAAGGGCGTGTCAACTGCTATTTACTGTTATTAACAACTGTCAATTGTATAAAGGTTATTGTTGCCCTACAGGCGTTACGGGTCTTACGTATGTTCATGTTTTGACTGTAATAAACTATGATTTTCTTGATACGACGGTTGCGTTCCTCCTGTATTTTTCAGCTGGGAAGAACACTCCTTGGAGCTTACTCCATTGGAGCTACAATTGCCACTTGACCCCGAGTCACCTGAACAACCTCAGGTCATGTTCATACCCAAACCCAACTTCCAAGGTCTGGTGCGATTCATATTTGAGGTTAACCTGGCGGGGAGCAAAACGGAGGCGGAGGTTCTTCTGATGGTAAGTGCGCGCCCGTGTTGGTTGAGTCGAGGTAGCTCACGGAAGAGTACGCCTCTCTTCTGGGAAATAGGACACGTTTGCCCACATCAAGTTATCACATACACAATATTTGTTTTGCTTGCGCATCTTACACCATCTTGTGTGATCTGACTGACAGACCTATGGTGCGAAAGGTGCATTCAGTAATTTTAGGTGCATTCAGATTTGGGCATTTGTTGCAATTGCTTCATACCAGATAACGAAGGAATCCAACCTGATGAAACGCCTCTCGCGTCTGTACATGAGATAATCTGCTCATACCGCCGGGTACTCTAGCGGTGACGCACCGCGTCCCCCGCGCCCACCCGGCGCGGCGCTGACGCCGGCTGGCGGGCGGCTGTGTCACCAGGTGCGCGAGGCGAACGACGCCCCACTGCTGCGGGCCGGCACGCCGCCGCCGGCGCCGCTGCTGCTGCCGCTCGGCGCCAGCTCGCTGACGGTGACGGCGGCGCAGCTGGTGGGCGGCGCGTTCGCCGACCCAGACGGCCGGGCGACGGGCGCGGCCGTGCTGCGCGCCGTCGGCCCGCCGCTCGGCCGCTGGGAGTGGGCACCGGCCGGCGCCGACCAGTGGAGCGCGCTGGAGATGACGGCCGCGCTCGAGCGGCCGCCGCCGGACTGCGGCCGAATGCCGGCCGATGCCGCCATGGCCGAGCTGGCGCGCCGGCTCGCCGGGGGCGCGGGCTGTGCGGCGAACGGCACGGGAGTCGAGCCGGGGCAGGGCGTGTCCGTGACGCCGCTCTACCTGGCGCCCGGCGACCGGCTCCGGTTCACCGCAGAGAACGCTAGCCAAGCGTGGTCCGAGCGGGAGGCGGAGGAGGGCGCCGGCCTGGTGCTGGCCGCCTGGGACCAGACAGCTTCCCCGGAGCTGCTCACCGTACCTGGCTGTCAACCGGTGAGCTTTCCAGCCTGAGGCGTGTGAACGTGACGGTGGTGTTACCATCAGACCTGCTATGGCTCCCAGCCTGAGGTGTTACTGAAGGTGGATGGTACCATCAGACCTGCTATGGCTCCCAGCCTGAGTGTGTTTACGTGACGGTGGTGTTACCATCAGACCTGCTATGGCACTCCAGCTCGAGGTGTGTGTACTTGACGGTGTGTGTTACCATCAGACCTGCTATGGCTCCCAGCCTAACGTGTGTTATTGACGGTGGATGGTACCATCAGACCTACTGTGGCTCCCAGCCTGAGGTGTGTGTTCTTGACGGTGGATGCTGCCATCAGACCTGCTATGGCTCCCAGCCTGGGGCGTGTCATTGACGGTGGATGCTACCGGCAGATGTGCGGCGGCTCCTCCAGCCTGAGCGAGGCCCAGCTGCGCGTGCTGGTGCTCCGCTCCGACTGCACCGACCTGCCCGTGCTGAGCGCCGAGTACGCCGCCCCCTGGGACGTTTGCGGCCGCTGCGGCGGCACCGGCGAGTCCTGCATCGACTGTAACCAGGACGTCAACGGCAGTGAGTGGGCCGGCGGCGGCGCCACGCCGAAGCAGGACCGCAGCAAAAGCGGCGGATTGTTAATTGTTAGCGAGCTGCAGTTGGTGGGTAATTCAGGGACAGCTTGCGAGGCAGATGGTGTGCGATTGGATGGTACGCAGCTGGCCTGCGAGGGCGACCAATGTCGCGATGGATTGTACAGGACGATGGAAAAATGCACCGGAAGGGACTTCATGTGTGGAGAGTACACCTCGATGCTCTTGGACAAGGGCGCACGCATAAATTCGCAATAGGTGGGAGATACAACTGAGGGGATTTATTGAAAACTCGGGGCAGCACGTCACAGGCGCGCAAAATTCCTTGCATGACTAAGATAAAGTGACACGCTCTCAATTTGTTTGGTTTTACCGGTCTACCTCTAATTTTTTATGGCTAACGTGTATTCATGCACCTACTGACACACGCAGTAAATGTGTCGAGGGGAGGGACTGGAGGCCCCAGTGCGTGCACGCATCTACTCCTTGGATTCAAACTGCGCCGTAAGCACACCTTAAATGGACAGCTTGGGCCGTGTGCACCATCAGTAGGCTGCTTGGTGCCCCCAGAAGGCGCGGTCAGTGACGGCTGTAACCACCATCGCGTCACAGTTCAGACGTCCCACGCCACTCGCGGCTCCCCACTGCCGCGTCCGGGCCGCTGTTGGCAGCCGTCAGTGACCGCGAGACTGCCTTTGGTGTCGGGCCGTCGCGTGTCCGTCGCCATTAACTCCTTACACCTGGGCAGCATCGATCCTTCGCCGCATGCCGCCGTGTGCGCCGAGACGCCGAAGGCGTCGGTCGATGGACGTGTTTATGGCTGTCTGACGTGAATGTGGCGCTCGCGTCCTTTCTCGTCGAGTTGTGTGGCGTACCGACGCTCGCCGACTAGATTGTAGTGATGTTGCCATGCACCCATGCATTTTATTTTCCTGGATTAGTTTGAAATGTCGCTGCCGTTCGAATTACGATTCAGTGCGAAATCTCATACGGCATGCATGCGGACATACACAATTCATCGAGTTGGTCTGCAGGTGGTCATTTAGCTAATCTTTGCCTCGATATTCAATAACCCCATCTAAGCTCATAGACAGTGGAAGGTTTAGGCTGCGAAAGCCCTCAGGCACACGATGGCAGCGCGAGGTTGTCCACTAGTCAAGCTCCCAGTCACTAAATTCTATACATCCACTATCTCAGTTCGGGGTATGCCACACCAACTCAAACTGGGAGCATTACAAATGGCGCGCTTTGCGTACCCATCCTAGCTGCAGTTGGCCACTACCTCAGTCGCCGACTGACGTCTGCTCTCTCCCGCCCCGCCAGCTGCGTTCACAGACTGCGAGCGGTGCGTAGGCGGCGCCACTGGTTTGGAGCCGGAGCGGGACTGCGCCCACCAGTGCATGGAAAGCGAGCTTGTGCGCATCCAGGACGCAGAAGTGTGCGCCCTGAAGGAGCCGGCCGCTGTGGCGCCTTGCGACAGCGTCAGCGGCTCCGGCGCCTACTACAACCCGTGAGCAAGGGGTGGGGCGCGCTGCGACGCCCAGCGGCACTGCTGGGCACAGCAACGCAACCGTGCATGCGTGATGTGTGTGTGTGTGTGTGTGTGTGTGTGTGTGTGTGTGTGTGTGTGTGTGTGTGTGTGTGGTGTGTGTGTGTGTGTGTGTGTGTGGGTGTGTGTGTGTGTGTGTGTGTGTGTGTGTGTGTGTGTGTGTGTGTGTGTGTGTGTGTGTGTGTGGTGTGTGTGTGTGTGTGTGTGGTGTGTGTGTGTGTGTGTGTGTGTGTGTGTGTGTGTGTGTGTGTGTGTGTGCGTGCGTGTGTGTGCGTGATCGTGGTGGCGTAACGTGCAGGGTTATTGCGGACTGTTTGCCCATTCCGGGGTATCGGTGGATCGCTTTGTTGTTTTTTTTTGCTGTTTTTTGCTGAGCTTCAGCCAGATCTGCTAGAAGATGTGCTCAGCGTGTAGCATCGGCCTTAAGTATCGCATCATAAGGTGTCAAAACGACTTTCCCGGCCACTCACACTTCACATTCGCTCAGCATTGCTACGGTCAGCCCTTCAGCGTGCGGTCACTCCATGCCAGCACAATTCCGTACCGTGCTGTCCCGTGTTGTCTCCGATGCTGCCTTCCTGTTCCATCTCTGACACTGCCATGGCGTCCCGCTGTCTCTATCCCTGACGCCGCCATGGCGTTCTTCTGTTCTCGTTTCTGGCGCCACCATGGCTCCCCTCTGTTCCCTGTTTCTGGCTTTGCAATACCGTCCCTCTGTTCCCGTCTCTGACGCCACCATGCCGTCCCTCTGTTCCCGTCTCTTACGCCGCCGTGGTGTCCCTCTGTCCCAGTCTCTGACACTGTCATCGCGTCCTTCTGTTCCCGTCCCTGACGCCGCCATCGCTTCCTTCTGCTCCTCGCCTCCGACACTGTCATACCGTCCCCCTGCTCCCGCGTCCGCCACCGCCACGGCGTACGTCTCCCGCGTGCTCTGACGCCGCCGCGTCGGCGCTCAGGTGCGGCCACTGCGTGCTGGGCACCACGGGCCTGACGGCCACCCACGGCCGCGACTCGTGCGGCCGCTGCTCGGCGACCAGCGGCGAGGCGCAGCCGCTGGTCGCCTGCCCGGAGGAGGCGTGCGACGGCGAGCTGTCCAGCCCGCGCCGGCTCGACCGCTGTGGCCAGTGTCGCCACCCAGCCGCCGCCAACTGGGGTGGTGAGTGGGGCCGACCGCGCGCGGCGCGCGGAGCCGGGCGGGCGCCGGAGCGTCGGCGCGTGGCCCGTGCATGGGCGTCTAGGCAGGGGCCAGGGAGCGGGAGGTTATGTCGCGCCATCTGGCGTTTCGTTGTGTTCAGCTCAGCGCGTGCAGCACTCAGATTGGCTCGAATATTATGGATTTTTTTCACTTCGGTAGCATGCTTTAACTCTGGTGAATGCATATTTGTACACTCAGGCGGCTTGGTCTTCACACCTAAACTAACTCCTTGTAGGTGATACAATCGGATGATAACTTAATGGCATTGTTAAGTGATCACCTATGAGGCTCTGCCAGCTGTATGACCCTAGATCATTCGCCAGATAACATTAAACTCAGCCATTTCTCCATCAGCAAGCCCGGAGAGGTCTTCTCGACTATGTGATCCCTCTGGCCCATCCCCGCGTGACGCATCCTAGCACTTCACACCGCCCCGACTGCCGCAGCCTGCAAGCGCTTCGGTCGGCCGCCTGCGGTGGTGGACGTGGCGCGACTGGGAACCAACGAGCCCGCCACCGTCGCCCTGCCGCTGCGCAACCAGACGAAACCCTGGGACCCCCACGCTGGTCAGCTGTTTCGTGCAGAACGCCGGCGGCGAGAAGACGGACGTGAGTGGGGACGGTGCGCCGCGGCTCGCTGCGTCGGTCAAGGGTCTGTAACCCATGCCAGTGACCGTGTGCGCACTCAGACATGGCGTTTATCGTCAGCGAGACACGAAATCAAACTGATCGGCTGCGTCTAATGGAATGGGTTCAACGTGCTCAGCCACCCGCCTGGATTCTACGGAATGAGAGCAGCATATGAAAGTCTCATGCAAAATGCATCAGCTGTCCCGGAGGCTTTGTAGAAATTCACATTTTACATCTCACACAGTCATTCCACATTTCATGTGGTAGGGTTCTTATGGTACAATTGTTCAGTAGGACGGAGAGAGACTGTTATTTATGAGCAGTTTGTCAGCGCGGGGCAGCGTGGTTGATGCTGACATCAGCAGAGACTCTCTCCGTGCTCGTTCACACTCCCGCATCAGCCCGCTGTTACTGTGCTCAACTCTTCTCCATGCCGCCTGATGAGGACATCGCACGCCCCACCTGCAGGTCTCCACCTTCCCGCACGAGACGCTGATCATCACGGCGGCCGGCACGAGGCGCAAGGAAGTGGGCCGTCGGCGCGAACTTGCCGGCCGACCTGCCGCTCGGCTCGTACGACTTCGGCTGCGGCGACATGACTTCGGCCGACAGTTTCATGCTGGTGAACAGCAGCAGTCTGGGCATCGCCTCCTTGGAGCCGCCCGAGGGCACGCTGGGGGAGGAGAACATGGTATGTCACGCCGGCTGGGCGCTGGGCCCGTGCCGACGGACACGCCGCGTATGGGGTCGTCTGACTGACTTCGCCTGTCTGACTGTTGCCTGTGATTTCGCTGTTTTCCTGGGGTAAATCCGGCCCGCAACGGCGCTTACTTCCAACGCCGCCGCATTGGTCGGCCCTTCTTCGGAGTTGTGCCTGCTCCCGTCTCGTCTGCGCCACGTTCCCACCCCTCTTGCCCTCCCCGGATGTGGCGCGCGCCGTGTGCAGCTCTGCCCTAAATGACTGGCGCAGTCGAAGCGCCCTCAAAACCACACATCAGTCGGCTACAGCTGGGCCCCTTCGCAGGTGAGCGTGACGCTGTCGACGACGCCGACGGCCGGGGCGCCGGTGCTGCTGGGCCTGCTGTCGCCGGCCGGCGTGCGGCCGTCGTACACTGCCGTGCTGCTGCGGAAGCCGGCCGCCGGCACCAGCCGCAAGGGTGGCGCCGGCTCGCTGCAGGCCTGGCTGCCGCGACTGCCGGCTGCTGGCCGCTACCGCGCCGTCGTCGCCTATGATGAGGCCGGCGTGCAGGCGCTGCTCAAGCAGGGGTCAGTGTCATGGTGATGTCTTTGAATTGCAGCGTGAGGTATATCCGTGCCTCTGTATTAGGTCTATCGTTAAGACCCACTTAAATTGGATGGCGTGTTTGAACCATTCGGTTCAGCCAGCCTAAATAACGTATTAACCCGACTATCGTCACGATCCCTGTTAAGCAGCCTGGTGCATTCCTCGCCAGTGAACCTGTCATGCTGCTGGCTACTTATGCCAATCCCCAGGTAATCCGAGCGTCAGCTGACCCGGGGCCGCTCGGCAGGTGCGGGGAGACGTGCGCGCCGATCCACTTGGACATGGTGTCGACCGCGCCGCGCATAGTGAGCGCCGGCTTCACGGCTCCGTACCGCCACATCAGCGTCAAGTTTGACCGGCCCGTGACCTCTGAGCAGAGCTGCGAGCAACTGCTGGACGCGGACAGCCTGCAGCAGCTCGGCGACGCCGGTGAGTGGCGGCTGGGCGCCCGCGACGTCTCCCGCGGCCCTGCAGCAGGGGACATCTCGTTCGCGCTCAGTCAACGCTGACGCTGAGCTCGTCGGCCAGTGATATCGCCTCTATGGGTTCCCCTTGGCGTAAAAGAGATATTCTAAGAAGGCAACAGGTGAATATGCTAGGTATATCCGAGTTCGGATCAGGTTTGTCTTTCGATCACCCAGCTTGCGAAACGACCTAGCTGCCATTGAACGCATCTGTACCCAGGCCCTGCCATGCCGCTCATGGGGGTTCCACCGCCATTCACGCCCGCCGTGAGCTGTGCGCCCTGGCCCACAGCCTGCCAGGTGCGCGGCAGTCAGCTGCTGATCCGGCCCGGCGACAAGATGGCGCCACCCAGCGGGCCGCTGACCCTGACGCTGGCCGAGGGCAGCGCCATTGTCAGCCGCGGCGTCGGCAGCGGGCCGCTGGCGGGCCGCGCCACCGGCTCTGTCAGCGTCAGCTTCGCCGAGGCCATGGCGGTACGAATGCGGCGAAGGCGACCCGCCCGCTCGGTCGCCGACGGGCGCCGAAGCGGCCGGATAACGAAGCAGCGACCGATGAATTTCGACCCCATTATTGGGAGCAGTGATCTCAGTCAGGGCGAAGCGCGCGGTAGTCGGCGTCATGTCGTGCGAGGCAGATGTTTGGTCTCCACCGCAGGATTAAAGATCTGCACCGTAAGGGATTGACATTGACTGTTGTTACGCTGTTATAGGGCATCGGGGTGCTTACCGGGACAGCATATTCTGCACGTTCTCACCACAGTGGCGGCGATGTAGGGAGAGGGGTGTAGCGAGCATGGCTGTGCCATTCAAGTAATGCTGCGACAGACGTTGCCGGAGGGCTGTCGGTGGCGCGCTCTGAGGCGGGGTAGGTCAGGCCAGGTCACTCCCTGCCGCGGGTACGACCGCTGTCGTGACCCACCAGGCAGCCGGTGGCGTACCCTGCGCCTGAGCCGGGGCCGGTCAGCTCAGGCCGCCTCCCTTCCGCAGGTACCCCCGGAGTTCTCCCTGGTCGGACCGTCGGTGGTGTGCTCGGCGGCCGACTCACGCGCCACCTACCGGGCGCTGACGCTGGAGGGCCTCGGCCGGGCGCTCACCTACACGTGGAACGTGACGCTGGAGGCGGACACCACGCTGACGCAGCGCACCACGCTGGAAGTCTGGCAGGGCATCAACGAGGTCATGGAACGCGATGCGACGTACGGGACGGGAGCCGTGTCCGTCTACACCATCAACACGTCACCGGTCAGAGGCGCGCGCGCGCGTGTAGCCGTTCAGCCGGATGCCCGCTGCAGCCAACTGCTTCCCTAACTTCGAGTGTGTGGTGGCAGCTGGTGGCAGCGTATATATATATATATATATATATATATATATATATATATATATATATATATAAACTTGTTGCTCCTATAGAAGCGATAGAAATAGCATAATGTTGATAGAAAAATGAAAGTATGCTTGGTACATTTGGTAAGATAACAGCCCATGTAGATAATAAGCTCTACCGAAGTCCATACTATATGACATCTGCTCACATTTAACCCTTTGACCCTGTGCATGCCATCGTTGGCCATGCTGAACACCAGTGTTGTTCGTGGTAACAACGCGATCACGAACGCCACGGCCCAGCAAACAACGCACTCACAGCCCGCGCTGCCCCGTCGCCACAGCTCATCGCCGACGACTTCAACTACCAGGTGTTTGCGAAGGCGCAGACGTGGGCAGGCGGCTCGCGCAGCCTGTTCCGCGCGTTCCGCGTGGTCAGCTCGGGCCTCTCGGTGGCCGTGGTCGGCCCTGACCGCATCGCCGCCGGCGGCCTCTACACCTACCGAGCGACGGCCGTCCTCTGCGGCGGCGAGCAGCGCGGCTTCAAGGTGGGCGATGGCGAGCGCCGGCCGCTCGGGCCGCTGGTGGGGTCTCTGGCCGGCTGGCTGACGCGGGACGCTGATAATGTGATGAAGCTAGGCCGATGACGGGCGCCGGCCGCTCGCACCGCTGGTGGGGTCTCTGGCCGGCTGGCTGACACAGGGACGCTGATAATGTGATGAATCTAAGCCGACGGCGAGCGCCGGCCGCTCGCACCGCTGGTGGGGTCTCTGGACGGCTGGCTGACACAGGGACGCTGATAATGTGATGAATCTAAGCCGACGGCGAGCGCCGGCCGCTCGCACCGCTGGTGGGGTCTCTGGACGGCTGGCTGACACGGGGAAGCTGATAATGTGATGAAGCTAAGCCGATGGCGGGCGCCGACCGCTCGCACCGATGGTGGGGTCTCTGGCCGGCGGGCTGACACGGGGACGCTGATAATGTGATGAAGCTAAGCTGACGCTCCCGTGGGGTGTGCAAAACTAAGGCGCTTATGGTGCGCGGAATTTGTTGTGTCATGATATTGCTGGTCGATAAGTATAAGAGATAAAAAACCGTTATAATGCGTCATCCAGCCGTTATGGGTTTTGTCAAATTTGTTTGCTTACATAATCGTATACCTAGACATTTGCTCTCTAAGCCTAGCAGCACAGCATTTGTTTTTCATCAGCAAGTGACCTGATATGACATGCGGTCATTTCCACTCGACTTCACTGCACAACCAGCCATTTCCGTCTGCGCGTCGACAGGCTGTGCCCGGTCCGGCGGCCGCCTGTCCCAGAATACGTGACGCCGGCCGGGAATGGCAACACCCATGTGCCTCCTAATACCCGATGGTGTGTGTGTGTGTGTGTGTGTGTGTGGTGTTGTGTGTGTGGTTTGTGTGTGTGTGTGTGTGGTGTGTTGTGTGTGTGTGTGTGTGGTGTGTGTGGTGTGTGTGTGTGTGGTGTGTGTGTGTGCGTGTGTGTGCGTCTGCCCCGCCACGCTAGGATGCCCGTGTCGTACTTATTATTTATCGTGTGGGCTTTTGCCGCGGTACGCCTGAGCCTAGCTGGATCGTCTGCAACGTTTCTCACTCAGCGTGTGCCATTCTACCCCCACACGCCCAGGTTCCACCGTTTCCGACTCTCAGTGTGTGTCTGCTGCCCAGAACGCCTGGATCCAGTCGTTTTTGACGCTGAGCGTGTGCCTGCTGCCCCAGTACGCTCGACCCCGTCGTTTCTTACTCTCGGCGTGTGCCTGCTGCCCTAGTGCGTCCGGATCCCCTCGTTTCCCCGCTCTGAGCGTGTGCTTGCTGCCCCAGTACGCTCTACCCCGTCGTTTTTACCCTCGGCGTGTGCCTGCAGCCCTAGTACGTTCGGATCCCTTCGTTTCTCGCTCTGAGCGTGTGCTGCTGCCCAGTACGCCTGGCGCCTGCCTGGGATGCCGGCCTCGGCTCTGGAGGGCCTGGACAGCGCCACCCTGCGGCTGGACACGGCTCAGCTGGTCTGGCAGTCCGAGTTCGTCCTCACCTGCGTGTTACCTCGATGGATACCGAGATGTGGGCACGGTCAGTCGGAAGCCCGCCAGCTGATCGTGGCCGTCTCTCAGAGCCTGATGATCTCCTCTTAGCCGTTAATAATATTCACTTTGGTAGCCGCGGCGATGTTCCCTTCTGTTATTGCACGGATCACTTATACCGTGGCTGTACATGAATTACGTTGGATAGCCGTGTTATAATTACACCTGCTGGGATCACTGATTGACAATCCATAAACCTCCAAAATTTTCGCAGTCGTTATGGCTGTGCTGTATGCTCAGAAGCAAGTTCAGCGGTCCACCGAGGAGCGGCAGCAGCCTGCTGACTGTCCTGACGCCTCGACCCTCTCTCCTTGCAGGGCTCGCTGCGTCTGCGGCCGGTAGGTGGCGGCGTGCGCGCCCGGCTGCCGGCCGAACGACGCTCAGTGTCCGCCGGCCAGCCGGTCTTCCTGGACGGCTCGCGTTCGGCTGACCTGGACAGGCGCCCCGGCTCGCTCGCCTTTACATGGACTGCCAGCTGGCCGACGGCGGCGGCGGCTGCTTCTCGGCAACCCGGGGCGCTGCGCCCGCCTGGAGCAGCACCTGGGCCAGGAGGCCGTCAGCCAGCCGACTCTGCGTGTGCCGGCAGACCTGCTCGGCGCCGACACGTGAGGGACACGCGATACGTAGCCCGAGACGCCGGCGGATGCAGCGGCAGGCAGGATGCCCCTCTTCTGGCGACTAGTTCAGCTCTCTGTACTCTCTGTGGCTGCCGCACGAGCACAAACCAAACATTGCGTGATGGCTCGAATGTCTTAAACGCCGCCCGGTTTTTGAAACAAAGCATACAGAAAGTGTGTTTCCGTTCATTATTGTAACGCTATAAGTTTTTTTGTATATAATGTGATATTCCGATGCCTTTGCAGGTGGTACCGCTTCACCCTGCGCGTGGAAAAGAACAGTGATGTGGACGAGGCCTCGACAGAGGTGTTCGTCGGGCGCAGCGGCGGCCCAGCTGTGGATCAACCGCAACCAGGACTTCTTTAGCCCATATGAGCCTATCTACATTCCGGCTCAGTGCATACTGCGTTTTCAGTTGAACAACTTGGGTGTGCATCTTAGTGGGGGGTGGTAGCTTCAAGGCACACAGACAACTATCAGGACTGAATGATTTCGTCGGAACTATGTAGGATGCACACACTGAGTGAATCGCACGGGCCATCTTCGTGGAAATTAGCTCCCTCAAAATTATCCCCTCCTGCGCGCGTGTTAGCGCTCGTCCAAGCCCGACCACCTGTTTGTGAGCGTTTTCAACCGGGCACCGCCACTCTACAAGTGTCTGGGCGTACCCTCCAGACCTGGCGATGTCTGAGTTATGCTCTCTTCTCCCGGCCGATGTCTGAGCTATGCTTTCCTCCCCCGGTCGATGTCTGAGCTATGCTCTCTCCCCGGCCGATGTCCTGAGCCTGCTCTCTCCTCCGATCGATGTCTGAGGTATGCTCTCATCCCTGGCCGGTGTCTGAGCCATGTCCTCGTCCGACCAGTGTCGACTGACTGGCGGGTGACGGTGCGCTGGGAGACAGAGTACGAGCTGCCGGCGGCCGCCCTCGACTCGCCCTCGTTCCAGCCCACCGACGTGGCCGTGGTACAGGCGCCGGCCGTTCGACCTGG